TCACTGTGATCCTCCTGCCTGAGCCTCCCAAGTACTGAGATTACAGGCATGTACCACTACACCTGGTCACCTGAATTTATTATGTGCATTTCCTTTTCCTACTCTACATATATTCCATATTTTTGTCTCTTTTCCTACAAGGATAACAATTCATTCTTTTTGGCTAGAAGAAATTTCTCTAGTCAGAAATTCATTCCCTTTTGATGTCATACTATTTACTGTAGAGCACAAATGTAATTGCTGTGTACTCTTAAAACACTATAGAATTTTAAATAAGTACACTATTTTTACCTAAGAGGTAGTGTTCCTATTTCTAAGGGTGGAGAAGAGATGACAGTCATGCATATGAAGAACAGCATTGACTGTGAACATTAAATCATATATCAGATAATTTGGATTTACATGTTGGTTATAGTCCATTTACATTTCTCCGCATTGCTATCAGTAATGAAAGTTAAATCGCAGGATCTGCCTTTGTATAAACTTTCCCGGTCTTTTAATATATCTTGCTGCACCTATTCAGTTATCTGAAGAGATGGCAGAATTGTGCTCATTTGCTTTGAATTGCTGAACATGGGGAGATATTCACCCATAGAACTCAACTGTTGTTTGCAGAACTTGGAGTGTTATACAAGAGTTTGAAAACATCTTTTTAGTGCTCACAAAGCAAAGTGTGGTGAAGTGAGTACTAAACCAGGAGGACAAAGACTTGCAGTGTAATCTGAAATCTGCTTCTATGTAACCATGAATGCCGCTTAGATCTCTCTGGGGTTGTGCCCTCTTTTGTAAGACAGACTATCATACTTGCACAGGATTGCTGTGAGGATCAAATGAAGAAAGTACAATAGAAGGTATATTTCAAAATACCCTACAGTGAAGATTGGCATGATACACACCAGATCTCACTCTCCCTTCAGGTCACCCTCACTGACCGCTGGCAGTCATTCATTTTCTCACATTTTATTGTTAATCAAACTGGTGAGCATTAGACAACAAGAAAAAATAATGAGATCTCAAAATAAGTCCTGCAAAATATGTAGTGGTTACTATTTATATTGGGATGAAGAAACAAATGTAAAATTCTTTACATTTTTAGAACAATAGATTTTTTGTTTTCAGCATTTATTATTCAGGGATCAAAAATAACATGCTAAATATTAATACAAAAATGTTTTTGTTTTACATAATATGAATCTACTTCAAATACAATTTTCAAGAAACAACCCCATTTTTCCTGTAGATGTATTTTACAATTTGTTTAAGAAGTTCTTTTGGGGGCTGGAAATTTAGCTCAGCAGCACAGTGCCTGCCTGGCAAGTGCGAGGTCGAGAGTTCGATTCCCGGTACCAGAAAAAAAAAAAAGAAGAAGAAATTCTTTTGTACAAATGCGGGTGAATAAAATGTATTACTAAATATAGCCATTTAAATGCATTAAATGGACCCCTCCTACCTACTTAGTAAGTATGGTGGGATCTGCCATGGTCAAACTCAGTTATGAGTCCAAAGTTTCAGACTTGGTGTGAATGGAGTGGTTGTGCTGGATGAATCCATCTTTACTTGATTTACCTTAGTATCTGCTGCCAAACACATATTTCACATTATACTTTGTTTTATAAACCCATGATTCTGAAATTTATGAAATATACATTTTTCGAAATTGAATTACTTTAAAATATGATGGAGTTTCCATTTAAAATAATTTGTATGGTAATTCTTTGTATTAGATTGAGTTATATTACATTGCTGATATTTGAGCATTTTTGGACTACAAAATGTCAATTTGACATGCTCAATGTAATAAAAATGAAGCATCTTTGGCTTTGTCTTAAAACAAAGTCTATCTAAACCTACCTGTTTATATACAGGTGAAATTTGGGGGAAGAGTAGGATGGGGCAGTCAACATTTTGTACAGAATGATAAATTCAAATTATGCCCACTGGTTACTGTAGCTGACACTTTGAGTAGTAGTATATGTCAATTAATACATTTGGAGTATGATATATTTTAATATAAATAGAAATTTTTTTTTTGCAGTTTGTTACCATTAAAACATTCAGGTTATTTTCCTAAAGATTAAATGCCACATGAGTAACCAAAATAAAACGTCAGTTTAAATTATTTCCATTTATGTTACCACTGGAAATTGTGGGAGTTACATTGCTATTTTAGCCTAATCGGTGCTGTGTGTTTTTAGTGAACACTCAGGAAAGATCTACATCCCGTGGGATAGTTGTGATTAAAAAGGATAGTTGTTTTCCAGGTGAGTGACCTGATCATAAATTAGGTATCATCATCTAAATCAGTGATTACAGGAAATTTTAATCTCCTCAAATTTGGCGGGGGAGATCAGACAGGGAGGGAGCAGATTTGCAGTCTGTATCTTCATGAGATTCAGCAGTGATGCATCGAGTATCTTCCTATTTGCTGCTGTTTGAAAATGTAATCAGTTTCTTCATTTGTCCAATCACTAACTTCTCAACTGTAAAGTGCATTCAAATACTGTGGGCACAAAAAGGAGAAGCTGGAATGAGGGGAAATACATGTCCTTAAGAAGTTCTGGGGTGTACGGTCAGCCTTTGATGAAGTCCATGTATGGCTGCCAAGAGTTAAGGTTTTTAAAAGTCCTTGGCATCTGTGTGTTGAACAAAGACAACCCAAGCCACCTAAGATATAATAATGTAAGAGTCACTTTGCATTTTAGGAAACATAAAGCAAAAGGGGAACTGTATACCTTATTCGAGTCTTAGTCTGCCTGCTAATTTGTTCTGAACGGTGCAGAATGCACAGATGTAACAGGTGTGGCAGAGTCTACCTTGCTGCTAAGTTTAGCTCTGCATATGGGGATTTCACACTTTTCAGCCCCTTGGAGAGGGGAGCATTGGCAAATGAGTATAAAAGTGGAAAGCACTTGGGAATTTCACCACCACACTACATTTAGATCAGAGTAAAAGGGCTAATCTAAGTCGGTTACAGTGGTAGATGCGTTGATTTCACATCCATTCCACTTTTCTCTTACCACCACTGCAGTTCCCTGTGGAGCACCCTGTGAATTTGATGACAACCTTTTAGGTACAAAGAATGCCTGCTTTTTGAGCATGTAGACTCTAACATAGGTGAACTAGTTCTTTGGTGGCAAAACTGCCCCTGGCTTTCTGATTTCTGTTTTGCAAACAGTATTCATTTCCTTTGGTTTCTCTTTGGAAATTTAATTTAAAAGAATCAAATTATCCCCTACTGACATACTAGTGTGACTTATCTGAATGAAATTTTTCAAAATATATTTTTCCTGCAGATAATAAATGGTCTTTTGGCAGGGATGAGGAAGGGAAGAACATTTTTGGGGAAAGACAAATATAACATTTGAGGACATTTATCTCAGTAAGGATTTGTTGGAGGGTGCTGTATAATCCTTTCCTCCCTTGTTACTCTTTGTTATACCCAGACCTAAGAGTCTAGCAATGACTATCTGATCATTTTTTTCAGCAAAACAAACAAAAATCCAAAAGCAAACAAACAAAAAAATCCTACAACAAACCTTGAGATGCAGAAAGCAGGAATGTCTCATCCAAAGCCAAAATCATTCAATGACAGAATATCAAAATTATTTCATTTCTCCTTTAAAGTACAATTAGATCTTTTTGTCAAGGCCACATTTTGACAAAGTTCTTATTTGTGTGCAATTTAATCCTGGAGTGTGAAGGGGAGGGTGGGAAAGGTGCTCATGTATGATGTAGAATTCCTCGTCGTGAGAACATTTTGACATAATTTTCTCTTGATATGGGGTCAGTTTATCATTCCACCTTTTCATTATACATCTGTTAGTAAAATATTAATAATACAGATATAATATATGCATTGTTTTCTTACTAGATGTGTTTAACTTATCTTCTGGAAGGCTGCTCCTTACATTGAAACAGTTTCTTTAAATCTCTTGTTTCATTTGAGACAAATTTGATGGGCTAAGATGATGAAACCGTTGCTCTTTTGGGAAAGGGATAGTGATCTTCTGTTAAACTCTCACAAGGTTTAGCTTCATGTCAACATAGGCGATTCTTTAGGGCCAAACTGATGAGTTAAAATTTGTCTTTTTCTTGTGATGCCCTCTTGAAGCACTCATACCTTCAAAGGGAAATTCTCCTTGTTTGTTCTTAGAGCTTCCAGGGATCTTGTATTTCTAACAATGGCATCATATGAATTTCTGTGGTCTGAGGTTTGTTGAAGGCCATGCGCTCTTTGGTTGCTATGGAAACCTGCCCTCCCAACCAGCTGTCCTTTCCTATATTCTTTTCAAAGAGTGAGTCTCTGACCTCTTACATATCCCACAAGCAGAGTCAAGCTGAACATGAGCAGTTTGTTGTTACACGGGAAACTTCCTGTAGGAAAGCAAGCTCTCCTGCACATCATTGTACAAGGGGTCAATCAGATCCACTAAATCTCACTCTCATTCTGGCTTTAAGGAGTGGGGATTCGACTCTGCATCTCTACATCTGTAAATTGCGGGACACTTTCTGTGCTTTCGGAGGAGATGGGGGAGATGACATGTTTGAGCCGAAGGAGCATTGTGAAGAGCAGGATGAGGAGAATGGCCAGAAGGCTCAGGAATAAACCCACGTACATGTACAGGTTGGAATACTTGTCCGAAGTGGTGTCAACCTCTGTGGCCAGAGTGGGAAAATGAGCCCTCCCAGTGAGATTTCCATGGTACTTAAATTGCAGCTCCGTCATCACTCGGTACTTAAGTTGACAACTCTTTGATTTCTATTGCCTTTGTGGCATTCCAGGTCACTTATACTGTCTCTGAATATACTTGTGTTCTAACAATCCGATACAAACCAGTCACTCTGGAAGTGAAATTATAGTGCACAGAAAAGAAAATAATAATGTTCTAAATTGGTAATTTCTACATGCTCTCTGTCCTCTAGCACAGTAGGCACCTCCCTCCCAAATAGACGTTATCAGAATTTCTTAATCAATTAAAAACAGATCTTTAAAAAATAGATCTAGAAGTAAAGCTTTATTTCTCACTCTGCTACTCTTATACTGATTAAGTGTGGTGAAACTGCTTTATAATACTGGAATGGGGACAAGAGTCTCTTAGAGTATCATATCAGACTTTTACTCTATTTTGGTAGAGGGGAAAAAGGGATCCCTCTTATCTACGGCCTGTCTGTATGTGTGGACTAATTACATGAATGTAATTGGGTGTTTCGGTGAGGAGACCTTCTAAAGGCATTTACATATTTCTGGGTCATTATGTCTGAGTTTTCACCCCTACTTGTCTGTCTTTCTGAATCGTCCCTAAGGATGGAGACGAAAGTTCTTGCCCAACTGCATAGCTTAAGGGCTGTAAGTCTAGAGGACATGAATTTTCTACAGCCTTCTTGATGTCCCTCACTGTAGGTTGGAGGGGAAATGCTGTTGGACCCGGTAATTCTCAGATGGAGGAGGTCTTAGAGATGCTCATAGCAGTAGGCCTAGGTTCAGAAGATTTGGCTTCTAAGATTCTTCAACAGACTTATTTTCCTGGAAATTAAAAAAAAAAATCGAAGATAAAATATTCAGGTCTCTAAGAGAAATGGATGAAAATATATTTTGAAATAGAAATGAACATGGTTTGCTACAAGCAAGTTAGTTTTAAAATAATGTAATTTTCCATAATTTTGAATCTCTTTTTTGTGCATATGTTGTCCTGGGGATTGAACAAAGGCCTTGTGCATGCTAGGCAAGTGCCCTACTTCTGAGCTATATTCTCAGTCATTTTTGCTTTTATTTTGAGAACAAGGTCTTGCTATGTTGCCCAGGCTGGCCTGGAACTGGATCCTCCTGCCTCAGCCTCCCGAGTGACTGAGACTGTAGAGGTGTACCCACCATGCTTGGCTGAGTATCTTTTCTCCTTACACAGGAAATAGCTATTAAAAGGTTAAAGAAAAATCCTGATCACTAAACAGCAATTAAAAACTAGGCTAAGTTAGGACAGTGTTTTCTGTACTAATGGACCATAAGATTCACCTGGGGTAATCTTAATATGCAAAAACTGGGTTATAAACTAGACTTTTGAATCATAATTTTCAAAGTAGGGACCTGGGCACCACTTTAAAAATTCAGATTTTATTGAACTGGGATGGACCCCAAATGTTGTTATTTTTTAAAAACTTCCCAAGTGCCTCTAAATTGCAACCAGGACTGAGAACACTGATCTGGCTTAACCAGGAAAGCCTATCACTGAAACAAAGTAGACCTAAATTTAAGAGTTTATCAATCCCTGGGTTCCAGTGCCAAATTGGACTTTAATGTGTCATGGAATATTTAAAAATGCAGGTTTCTCCCAATTTTGCTTTTGTTCTCTCTCATTTAGGTCTGCAAGGTAAGAACATGTATTATTTTCAGTATTTGTAGGCCAGAAGGAATTGAGAGTCTATGTTTTTGCTGAGCAAAACAGCATCCTTCATTATTAGACAAGATAGACCCTTGTCTTTATTGGCAAAAAAAAAATCCAGTGTGAAAAATGGTCAACCATTTACTGTTGAAGTTTCTCAAAATGATTTACCTTGCCATTCCAAACATTAATTTCAAATAAAATGAACAATGTAAAGCACCATCACCTGTCACATTTCTGTGTGCAATTGTAGCAGATTGCTGACAATGTAGCTTAGTTCTGTCTCTTGTTAACACACTCAAGGAGAGTTAATAGAAACAGCTCCAACAATCTCATTACTCTTCCTATCATCTTTAATTTTGCAACTAGCCTGGAGCACTTCAGTTTAAATTTTATATTCCCCACTCTACATTACTATATTTTCTGTAATCTGCATGTCTTTAGTCTAATTAGTTATGAGGTGTGATTAAAATGCATGGTGACATTTAAATTTTTAAAAAAATTATTACAGTAAAAGACACATTGCCCCTAATATCTACCTCCCCCAAATACTTGCCTTTACTTTAAATACACTTATCCCTTTGTTTTTACGACTTTCTGAAGAAATTCCGGAAGTCTTCTTTTGTAAGTGTCTTTAAAAAGTACAATTAAAAAGTATAGTGAATGCTGTTTCTGAGTGCCATTCAAAGGAAATACAAGCTCTTAAAAAGTCTGGGACTCTGCCCCCTGCAGCCACCGCGGGAAGGGGCCTAGGACTCAGGAAGCCTAGGTTCTCAAAACATTTTAATGTTTTTCAGCTTTACTGAGGTGCAATTGACAAGTAAAAATTGCATATATTCCCCCCAAAAAACCCTCAAAACAACCAATCTGGTGTGTCCTCATGGGCCCTTTTGACTAAATCTGGCACTGTGCAATTTCTGGCTCTTCTCCAATGTCAAAATGACCGTAAAAGGTAAACATTTTGAATAGATTCAGAACATTGAATTAGCCAGGACAGCACAACTAAAGGTACTCATGAAAAAGGACTTCCAAAACTACTTAGCAAATGGCAAGAATGATGTAATAAGTATGTTTGAAGTGAGGGGGAGGACTCTGAGGAGGAATTAGCAACAATGTGTCTCTTACTGTAATTTTTTTAAAAAATTAAACATTCAACATATAATTCAGTCACAATTCCTGTTGCTCCTATCAACCCTAGAAAGCCAATTTGTTTGGAACAAACAAGACCAAAGGCAGGGTTTCTCTTTCTATGCTTTCTGGACAAATGGTGTAGGATGCTATGCTTCAGGGTACCTCCATTTTGATTTTTGTTTTTTTTTTGGCAGGGAGAGATCAAGGTCCAGGAATATGCTTTTTTATTCAGTTCTTTATACACAGAGCATTGAGCATTTATTGATTTTTCTCTCCAGAAAGTCCATCTGAAGAATTTGGCTAATCTGTTTTTTGATTGTTTGGAAGTCCTACTTTTTAAAAGTATTTACACTAGTGTTATTGGTTGAATTTTATGGCCCAAAAAGATATCTTGATGTCCTCCCCCACCCAGTACCTGTGACTTTCATCTTATTTGGAAGTAAGTTCTTTGCAGATGTAATCAAGTTAAAATGAGGTCACTAGGTTAACTCCACTCTACTGACTGGGGTCCCTCTAATCCAATGACAGAGTTACCCAATGAGAAGACAGAAACAGATTGGAGTGATGTATCCATAAGCCAAGGAATGCCAAAGATTTCCAGCAAATGCCAGAGGCTGGAAATGGGGAAGATTCTACCCTCCAGACTTCAGGGATGTGTGACCCAGCTGATGCCTTGACTTCAGGGTCTTAGCCTCCAGACCTGAGAAAATAAATTTCTGTTGTTTTATGCCACACAATTTATGCAACATTGCTATGGCAGCTCCAGGAAGCAAATACACAGAATAACTACCCTGAGGCCTTAGGGTTTTGGGACCTTGGAGGCAGTGTTTATCAGTGCGGGCCTTGGGAACACCTTTCATCAGTTTTAGTATATGTGTTGCTAAAAAGGGCACCCTTTTCATCAGAGTAATGCACCTGGTTGGTGCGTATTAAAATGCAGGTTCTCAGGCCTTTTCTCTTGCTTCCTAGGTCCTATCTCTGGAGATAGGACCTTGAAATCTGTTTGTAAGGAGGTATCCACTTATGGTTTTTAAGCACATATATTAGGCTTTTTGAAAATAGTATATACAGTATCTGGGTTCCTCCTCCAGAGGTTGTGATTTATTAGATATGTGTGAGACATGAATATTTTTACTGTTTAAAGCTCTATAGATGATTATGATATGCAGTTAAGGCTGAAACACTACTCTCCAAAACAGAACCTAGCATTTCAATCAACTTCGGAACTCTGACAGTCCCAGACAGCTCACACAGAGGCATCGTTTGATCTCATCTTACCCCCAGGTATCAAATGTGTTACATATATAGTCAGTCTGAGCAACCTTCCTTCCACTACCTCTTCTCTCTGCAGCTACTTTCATTAAGAATGGTATTAGCACAGAGGTAAGAGCTTAATGGATTTTTCACCCCTGTATCTCAGAAGTTACTTTTTCACCTGCCTTCCACAAGTGGAAGCAAACCTATACACTTCCTGCTAAGGTAAACCAAATGAGAGGAACCTCTACACTATTATAGTATCTTTTCATTTCTCCTTGGAAGTCAAATTCACAATTGGATAAGTTATACTTATTGGCTTATGGCACAGTTGTCATTGGTAAATGCAGGCGCTCTTTAATTTGTTTACTTAATAATATAATGAACAGCCATAGACAAACACTATTCCTACTAATTTTCAGTGAGAATAATAATTTACATGATATCTACTTATGTTGTCCATTTATCTATTTCTTTATTTATCTAAAGAAATAACCAGTGCCCTGAATTTTGTTAATCATTGCCTTGCATTGATTTACACACATACGCAGGCATGTGCGCGCACACACACACACTCACACACAGACACACACACTATCCATGCCTAAACAATATATGAGCTTTTATTCAGCTTTATTTTTTAGAAGTGATAGGCTGTGTGTAATTTTTGACTTACTTTTTAAAACTACATTCTATTACTGTATAATTTATTTATGACTGTTCTAGTAGCATGAGAAAGGAATAAAGTTTTGGAATCCTATATGTTGCGTTTGAGGTTCCTTATTGCCTTTGGTATTTACTGCATTCTTGTTAGTTTAACATTCAAGACTGTCAATATCCAGGCAGTCTTGAATGATCTTACTTCCTTCCATTACCTTCCTTTCCAGTGAAACTATAATGCTCATTCTTAATCTACTTCCCTGCTCTCATGTTTTACTGGAAAAGTCCCTTCCATCTTTACATGTCTCTGCCTAGGGAGATGCTAGCATTCTTCAAGGTTCATGAAGCTGAATTTGATTTCCCACCCCAATTTAATTCCCACAGTTTTATATCTTTCCTAGAAGAATTACACTTGACTATATTATAGATATCTATTTGATGTGTTTTCCCTAAATCCTAACTTACAAATTTCTTGAGGATCTCTTTCAATATTCTTTTCTTTATACAGCTGTGCTTGCAATAGTTTCTCAATAATAATTGAATAGATGGGTGGATATGACTGAAGAAATGCATTTAGCACTGGCCACTTGAAGAAAAGCAGTCTTCTCTTATCTCTGTTGTGATTGCTTGTATAGTTGCCCCTTGGTATCTGTGAGCCATTGGTTTGAAAACACCCACATATACCAAAATCTAAGGCTCCTCAAAACCCTTCTATAAAACAACATAACATTTGCATATAATTTATACACATCTTCTAGTACACTTTAAACCATCTGTACATTATTTATAACATCTAGCAAGATATAAATGCTATGTACACAGTTATTATTCAGGGAATAATGACAAGAAACAAAAGTCTGTACATTTTCAGTAGAGGCATAGTTTTTCTCACATGTTCTTGGTCTGTACATTGTTGGCTGAATCTGTGACTGGTTGAATCTACAGATGCAGAATCCTAAGATATGGAGGGCTGACAGTAGAACCTGGAGAAGAGCCTGAATTTTCCTGTAATTTTCATTCCCCTGTTTGATGCCACACTCTCTTATTGTGTAAAGGAGACTAAATCCTAGATTATAATCTAGAATTAAGGAGTAACCACTCTGTTGAAAAAAACTTTACTTTTGTATTACTATTTCAGTTAAAAATTTTTAAAGAAAAACTACATAAAAGGAATGCTTTAAAGTTAAAACTCAAAGTTTAGAGAGTACAATTGCATCTATAGATGACTATCAATAATAAGTGATAGTACATTTCCTACCTTCTACTCAATTGACCTCTTGGGCCTGATACTTATTCATTATTCTATGAAGCTTGGAGAAACTTAGACAACAGTGATATCTGCTTCAGCTGTCAACTTCTTTAAATGTTTTGAGGGTTTGGAAAACTAATCATATAATTTCTAAAATTCTCTATTGTCTGTAGGTCACCAAACACCCTGGGTAATTTGGGTAGATGTATTGATTTAATTCCTTAAATCCATTATAGAATTTGAAATGAATAAATAAGCATTTAGGTCCTGGGGAATTATTTTTGTTACTCTGTTCCTGTAGTTATGGTTTCTTCTAATGAAACTTTCCAAACAGGATTGCCACGGCTTTCTTTGGTGACTAATTAATGAATTGCACAGATGATGTGATTACTCCATTAAAAGTTTTACATGAGATGGAAGGAAAAACAACCATACAATTTGAAAAGGAGCAGAAAATCTAGTTTTTCTGAGGGATCCGATTATTGTGGAAAGACCTTTACAGACTTATTTTAATATCCTACAGTCCTTTCTGTAAATAAATAAAAGTCAATTTCTAGTTTTTCAAAACTAGTTGAAAGTTGTTGGGGGATAAAGAAAACATCACGGAGTGGGAAAAGTGTAAAGAATTAGGAAAATTAAGGAAGGGAAGGGAGGAAGGGTGAATGGAAGAGGAGGAAGGGAAAGAAATGTGAGAGGTGAGTAAAGAGAAAGAGAATGACATGTGGGAAGGGCTAAAAGGTAGGAGAAAATGAGTGATTAACAGGAAGAGAAGTAGGAAAATATTGGGACAGAAAGGAGAAAAGGAGAAGTATGAAGGCAAGGGAAAGAGGAAAGACTAGTTTAATAAGTGGCAAATGTACACCTGACTATCCAGTTTTCTTGACCTCTGCTGAAAGTCAAAATACCTACAAGTGATGTGAAGGCACCTTTGGCTTTCTGTTTGTATGTTTTGTTATTATCTTAGTAAATAAAACCGGCAATAAAAGTCTTCTTGTGTTTTTAGTGTTGAGCATCGAAATGCCCAGCTCTTCAGTAATGTTTGACATGAGCATAACCTCACAGAAGCAAAATAGCATATGCCCCCGGATCATGAATGTTGCTCCTCGAAATGAGAAGGGAATATAAACTTTAGTCTTTATCTGTCAACCCCAAGAGGGATTCCTTGGCTGAAACTTGTTTCTAATGAAAGCAGCAAAGGTCTGCATAGGCCACAAGCTAGACTGACATTTATGCAGCAAACCTTTACTGAGTGCCAGCCGAGGCCCAGACACTGAGCTCAGCACTGGGAATATATAAGTAAATGTATCCTTATCCCTATCCTGATAGTCAGGGTGCTCCTAGTAATTATATTTACTTTCTTACTGACAAAGTTCGGAAAACCACTGGTTATTTTATATTTTTCTGCATGGCACTTGCCTATATATTTCCACAGATGAAATCCCCTCAAGTAGCTAAAGAAAATGATCAGTGGAAAAGAAAAGAAAGTAACATCTATCCATTGCAACAGCTTCCAAAAGTTAACACTATCTGTCTGTATCTTCCTAGTGAGGGAAAGAAAACTATGCGGAGTTGAGCTGTTAAGAATATTGAGCTCCATAGCAGCCTATGAAAATACAATTTCAGTAGCAAGCCATTAAGTAATAAGCTTTCACATGTGGGAGTTGCTTTATCTGCCGCAGATGATGCCTATTTGTCACACCTGCCAATAAATAAAATAATGCCGCTCACTCTACCATAAATAGCATCATCATATTTCCAAATTTCTCTTACCTTTCCTGGCTCTGGTTGGCCGTTTAAGTATTACCTTTAAAGCTTTCACGGACAGACAACTTGTTCAGGAACATCTCTGGAGTATCTGGAAAATAGATTGAAAGCTTTGTTTTGCCAGAGAAGCAGAACTATGCTCATGCAAAGTATGCCTTCTCTTTCATCTTCGTGAAGAGTCAGCCCTTTCCAGAAAAGCAGAGCAGAACCTTCTATTAGTTATTTAGAATGCCAGGTGCCATCTATGAGTTGGAGTGCAGTTGCAGATGCCTTTTTCTTATAAGCGCCAAAGAGAAAAGGGGAGTCTCTGGATGTGTATGCGCCTGCCGTCTGGCACACTTGAATGAAAGCAGGCTGAATTAGTTAAGTCCCCAGTTCCTCCAGCAGGCAACGGTTTAGTGTATGCAGGAAAGGTAACAAATCAGCTCTGCTCTGCCTTGCGGTGTGGAGCCCCAGAGAGAGGGAGGAGATAAGAGAACGGAAGCAAAGTTTGTAGAAGCCTTCCTCTTTAACCCTTTCCAGGCTTCTTCCTGAATCCATAGTATTAGCTAAGCCTCCCTCTGTTCATAAAAGGTGCTTCATATGTCATTTGAAAGAAGCAGATTTCTTGCTCAATTCCAGGGATTTTTTTTATTTGAGATATCACAGTAATATAAGTTTAGAATTGTAACCAAACATGCCAAGATGTGATGGTGTTTATTTTTACAAAGAGCATGTATATATGTGTATGTTTCTAGGACTGGGAAACTATTTTAGGCATTAAATCAATACATTTAGCATGGAATTTTTGTGGAAATAACATCAGCCTGAGTTTCTGGTTGAGGGTGTGAAATCTTTAAAGAAAGCCTACTTATGCAGAGATGCTTCATTAGAAATGATTCATCTACCTGTAGTTTAAATGCCCTTACTATCTTTTACATAGCAAGGGGAAGGAGATTACCAGTTTGGGTGTGCCTACTTTGCATAAAGCATTTGATGTAAAGAACTTCATTTAATTCTCACAATAACTCTGTGAGTTAGATTCCTCATTTTACAATGCGGAAACTGCGGCTCAGAGAGAAAATCTGTTGTGCAGTTTAGTAAGCCTGATACCAGCACTTGAAAACAAAGCAGAGTGATCCCAAGGTCTTTTCTTTGTAACAGTATTTCTTAAACTTTGTGAGTCTTGGATACTTTTCAGAATCTAATGAAAACTATAAATCCTTTCCTTCCTCAGAAATATTTAATTTCTGTTCTCTGTGGTCCCCAGGTTAGGAAGAGCAGAGTGTTCCCACATTTCTTTAGCATCATGCCATCATTTGCTCATTGTTCATCAAACAACATCTGACCATCAGCAATTTTTATAATGGTAACAATTGTATTAGTAATGACGTCTTGTCAATCTTTAAGAAATTACTGCATGATTTTCCTTTTATTCCCGCATTCTCCTTACCAACTTCTAATATCTTTTGGCCTTTGCTTTCCCTCATCCCAGCATTGAGGGTTCTCCTGAAATCCTTAGTGCCTCACCAGCATGGTCTAGTACCTAGTTTCTCAAACTAGTGGAGTATGCTGGAATTCCTCAAACTGGAGTAATATGCCCAAGATTCATGAAAGTATGGGATAAGCCTAGCACATTTTCGTAGGGAATTTATTTTACTTGGATGTTTGGACAGGAACAACATATGTTATTTAAGTGATCATTTTAAACTTTGTATATGATAATAGACACATTGTAGAATAAAATGCAAATTTTGCATGTATTTTTATGATCAAACATGAGACTTCAGAGAATTTTTGGTTTTGACATGAGACCTTTTTGGGCTACTCAGACTTTTCTAAGGATATATAATCTCTGGTCTCTGTCATTTTGCATAGTGTGCTGGAAAAGCTCAGAGATCATGGTACAGCAGAAAGACAAGGAGCTTTTAAATCATGGAGACCTGGGTTTTGGTCTCAGCTTTGATCTGTATTTCCTTGATTACCTTAAGAAAGTGAATTAATTTTTCTAAGACTCAGATTTCTTATTTTTAAAACGAAGGAAATTATAAAAGGGAGATTATATGAGAATATATCTCTAAATTCTCAATAAATGCTAATGTCTCAAATTTTTAGGTGTCAAAAGTGGATGAGGTTGCTTGAATCTAACTGGAGGTTTCAGCAGGGGTAGTTTACCTTTTCTTATGTAAATATAAAAAAATTATGGGGCTGCCTAGCAAGCACAAGGTCCTGAGTTCGATTCCTAGCACCAAAAAAAAAAAGATACAACATGGTATTAAAATTCCAAGAAGACATAATAGATGCTTTATAATAGGTTGAAAAGTCCAAAACCAAGTCATCATATACAGAATTTATAAAAGAAATGCTCCAGAACAGATTCATTATGAGACAGTGTATAAGGAAGGTGCCAAAGAGGTGATGGGGACCTCAACTTGGCCCAGTGAGTAGTTTCTTGACTCACATCATGGAAAGAGTTTCAGGACATGGCATTGTGAGGCATATGCAAGTTTATTAAGCAGAATCAGAAAGTAAGGGAGAACAGGGAAAGGACTCCAGTTTAAGTAACTGAAGGAGGCACCCTCTGATTGCAGGATTGAGACCGGCCTTCTCACAAAAACACAGGCCAGCTTTTATGGATTGGCCGAGATGTGCCAAGGTCTGATCATCAACTCTGTTCTGGTTTCACAGTTCCGGTTCTGGAGGAATCCTTATGGCTTGAGGGACAATTTAGTTTGCTTGGGAGGGTGATCTCATCATGGGGTGGTCTGTGCAGGTCTGCTTTTTCTGCAGTCAAGGTGATTACAGTTTTAGGATAATGGCTAGAGGCTTTCTGGCATTGCTCCAGAGAGGGAGTCTGGAACTGGGCTTTGTAAAATATAGTTACTAGATATTTCTGTAAATATTGAAAAAAGTCCCTTTAGTTGTTCTTATTTTGGTGTCCTCATTCTTGAAGAAGATGGAATATACTAGGTAAATTTGGGGCTAATAAACTTCATACTACAGGCACCTCTTAAATGGTGAACATGTCTACATACACAGTTGAGCAGGGATCTGATCTACAGTTTTTTTAGGTACTAGGGGAGACAAAAACAAATTAGTTTCTTTTCTCCTTCCTATTTATTTTTATTTCTTTCATCTTACCTCAGTTTCAAGAAACAAAAAATCATCTGCTGGTGGATGGGAGTGGGAATAGAAATTTGTGAAAATATTTCTTTGCAGAGAGATTTTGTCAAGCTAAGATGCTACTCCATCTTTCATAGAAGTGATAGGTTTGGTGGATACTACTTCCTTTGCTTCATGCCTGGTGAGGGGCTATTTCCCTAGACCTTACCATTTACTCTCCTCAGTAAAGAGGCAGAGCACTAAAGCTGCACTTTATTCTGAGGAAGCCAGAGAGCCAAACAGAGGGAAGTCATTTCACAAAGGAAGAAGTGACTAATTCCCTTCCCTCTTTTCTATGTTCCTGCTTCTATCCTTGTGAGAGTACAGATAGGAGCTACTAAAAGAGACAGAAAAAAGAAAACCTATCCCTCCTCCCTCTGTAAAGGCAGTTAGCCAGTCTTAGTATTTTAGTATTGGGAAAGTAAGGAGACCCCTTCTTTGAGTAAAGACTGAAGAATTTGACTAATATCGTAGATTGTATATATACCAATTACTGAATTAAGTTTAATTTGTCACTTAGAATGACCTGTTTATTCTTAAAGATATAAGCAGAAAAGTTATGTAATCTTTCCATGTTTCCATCTAGGATTAAAGAAAATCTGCCCTACGGATGTATATTTTATTGAGACATTGGATGACTTTCAAAAATATCAGCTGCACTCACTAATTCATTCTTTCATTCAATAAGCACCAGGGTGTACATTATGTACAAGGCAGTGTGCTGGGCATAGGACATATGGTGAAATGAAAAAGAGTCCTTGCTCTTCAATTGCTTATAGTCTACAGCAAGAATAAGCTCCCCATCCCAAAGACTACTCCCCAGGTAGTAAATATTTTAGGCTTTGCAGGACACACATGATCTCTGTTGCATGTTCTTCCCTTCCAACTAACTCTAAAAATGTAACAATTATTCTTATGTTGAGAGCTGTGAAAATAAAAGTCGTAAGTTTTACTGGGCCTGTGGGCCCTACTTTGACTGTTCCTTAACTAAGGAAGAATCAAAATTTTATAAACCACCAATTAACACATAGTTACTTATGACTGAAGGTATTTTTAGGACACTTGGGGAAGAGACACAAAAGAGCATTATCTAACTCTTGCTGGGAGATCGGGGTTTCCAGGAAGATGCACTGTGGATATAGGAGTTACAGTTAAAGGAAGTGAACAGTATTCAAGGCAGCAGGAGCTATCTGTACAGATACATCAAAGCTTAAGTGAGTTTTGCTCCCTTTAGAAACAGCAGAAGGAGGAAATTGAATCTTTGAGAAGTTAAATAGTTTGCTCAGCCAGGCATGGTGGCACACACCTGTAACCTCAGCACTTGGGAGCCTGAGGCAGGAGGATCACTGCAAATTCCAGGCCAGCCTGGGCTACATAGTAAATTCAAGGCCAGAGTGCAGTACATACTGAGTTCCTGTCTCAAAAACAAAATACTTTTCTCAGTGTCAAAGAACTAGGAAGTAATGGAGCCTAGACTCTTAACCAAGGTGTCTCTGACTCCAAACCTATACTTTTAGCCACTGTATTATATTTCTGCCCTAGTACAGATACTACGTCTAAGAACTATATGTTGCAAATCAACAGCTCTGTTGGACTGACTTTTGAATTCCCTGGTGATGAAAATGTCAAAGTTCTAAAAGGGTGTTCCAACCTTAAAAATAGAGCAGCAAATCAATAATGTTCCATTGGCTTAATTAAACCTTGAGTTCACCTTTTTAAAAGCAGTTCCTTCCCCCTAATAAATCTTAGCACCCGTTGCTCAAATTCAAGGAGTTTGTTTCATCTTTATAGGAGAATTTTCTTGGAGGACCTATGCTCTAGCACTAACGTAATGTAATTTCTTACATTGTTGTTATATGTTTAGACATTTAGAAGGTATGGCAACCTCTGGCTTGAACTAAATATGATGATTGGCCCAGATACTGTTCCCATTTTCATCAATCACATTGAAGACTTCAAGCAAATGAGTTTACTCATCACAGAATTGCTTGTTGGGTTTTTATTGAGCTGGCATGGATTGAAAGGCTAAATTAGCCATGCAGTGACTACTCTGTGAAAAACACTTATCTAAGCCTGCCATGTACCCTTGGAGTCAGCAAGAATAGAGACTGAAATGAGGAAGAGGAGGGAATGGGGATGACCCAACCTCGCTATTACTAGCGTTCCGGTTGTTCTTAACCAGGGCTGAGCTTTTCACCTGGGGCTGTCTTTCAAAATATAGAATCCTGGTCCAATCCCAGACTTTATTGGGG